TATCTTCAACAGCTATTCTTTTTTGGGGGTGGGGCGGGGGACAGTGGTGGTGGTGGAGGGAGTAGGGAGGTATTGTAAATATATCTATCACACAATTTTGCCAAGTCAACTTTTCATGGTGTACAATTTATCATGGGAGTCTGGTGTGGCGATTAGGATAAAGCACAGGACCACAGGTCGGCTTGAACCACAAGGTCGACAGTTGAAACATACCAGCCACTACATGGAAACCCCATACAGGGTCGCTATGAGTTGGTACCGACTTGATGACACATAACAACAACCTATCCTGCTGTGGTGCTGAAGGATAAGCACTGGACTAAAGGTTGGTTTGAACCACTGGTGACAGTTCAAACCCACCAGCCGCTCCTCAGAAACCCTATACAGGGTCACTATGAGTTGGAACCAACATGACGGCATTTAACAACAGTTTATTGATAGCAATTACAACAATAAGCTAGTTAGCACTGTCCTTAATCTATGTGATTTTTCCATTATTGTTAATCTCCCTTTTCTCCCTCCCTCTCACCTCTAATAACAATGAATAGACTTTGGTCTCTAAACATTTGCCTTTTCCAGTCGCTTTATATAAGTGAGGTCATACAATATTTGCTCTTTTGTGATAGACTCATTTCTGTCAGTATATAGTCTTCCAGCTCGCATGTATCAAGACTTTGTTTCTCCTACTAGCTGAGCAGTATTCCATTGTATGTGTGTACCACATTTTGTTTACTCATTCATCTGTTGTAGCTACTCAAGTTGTTTCCACCTTTTAGCCTTTGTGTTTAGTGCTACAATGAACATCGGTGTATGTGTATCTGAGGCTCTGCTTTCAAGACTTTTGGGAGTACCAGTATCAGTACCTAGGAGTGGAATTGCTGGGTCGTTTATGGTGGTGGTTCTATTGAGTTTTTTTGAGGAACTGCTACACTGTTTTCCACAATGGCTCTACTATTTTGCTTTCCCATTAGCAATAGATAAGATGTGTGGGTGTATTCCTACAATATCAATTCGATTCCATGGTCTTTTTGTCCTAGTGTGGCACTGTGGGTTAATGCGCTGGACTGAAAGGTCGTTTTGAATTGCAAGGTCGGCATTTCAAGTTTACCAGCTGCTCCTCGGAAACCTATACACGGTCGTTATGGGTCAGAACCGAATCAGTTGTTTACAATTTACAATTTTTGTTTACAATAAAATCTAAAAGAACAGTAAGTTTTTTTCTTTTAGATTTTCTTGTAAATGAAATTGTCTCCCTGATTTCCATTTCAAAGTTTTCATTGCTGTTGTATAGAAACTCAGTTGATTTTTGTTTGTTGATTTTGTACCCTGCAACTTTGCTAAATTCTTTACTAGTTGTAGAAGTTTTTTTGTGGACTCTCAGACATTTTCTCTATGTAGCATCATATTATCTGTGACTAGAGATTATTTTCCTTCTCCTTGTCTAATGTGAACACCTTTTTTTTTTTTCTTATTGCTCTGGCTAGGAGTTTTAATACAATACTAGAATAGAAGTGGTGAGAGAAGGCATCCTTATTTTGTATCTGGTTTCAAGGAAAAAGCACTGTCTTTTTCCACTAAGTAAAATGTTGGCTGTTGACTTTTCACTTATGCCCAATCCACTTGAGGGTTTTCATCAAGAATAACACAATCATTTTGAAAGACGTAGGTATGCGTGATAGGAGATTTGAGTATTCAATAATTAACTCAAAGTTTGATAATCATATCTAAAGAGCTGGTTCCTAGCTAACTTGGTGGATTGGATGTAATCTTTTGTTACGGTTGAGAAAATTGCAGATATCTATTTGAACTTACTGTGTTAAATGAAACCCAAACCAAACATTTTAGTTACCCTTCATTCAGGGCTGTGGCTGAAGGCAGTGATTAAAATTACCTTGGTGTTTCTGAGGTCAGATGTCTCCTCTTTGCATTCCCAGAAGCCTCCATTGTGGCAGGAGGCAGCCCAATTAACTGTAAAGGATGTCCCTGTCTCTGTCCTGGCCAATCTTCTCCCAATTGCAGGTGCTTTACCACACTGGAGATTGGTGCTGTGTTGCAAAAAGGAATGAGGTGCTACCTTGTTAAAGCTGTCTGTGTTTGTCTCCCTTCCTTGCCTTTCTAGTCCATAGCTCTCCAATTCTGAGGTCTCAGAGATGGGAGGTAGTGGCTTTCACCAGAACTGACCTCGAGGGGTGTGCACCGTGATTAAAGGGTTGGGGTCTAGTCCAGATTCTGTCTCTTGGCAGCTGCATGACTAGATAAGTTACCTAACTTCTCAGAGATGCTGTTTTCGCTTCCATAAAATAAAGATAATACTTTTTCATCAGACTGTGGCCTCAATGAATCAATGTCCAGGAGAGGTATTCTATACAGTGCTTCGCAGAAAGTCGTATATATCTAAGAGATTATTGTAAAAGTAATTCATCTCTGTTTTAATTACAATGTACCAACAGATGATACAGTGTCCTGATGTGGCGCTGTCAGATAAGCACTGGACTGTTAATCATAATTTTGGCAGTTCAAACTTAGAGCTGCTCCTTGGAAACCCTAAACGGGTCGTTGTAAGTCAGAACTGACTCGACAGCACTTAACACAAATGGATGATAGCGATGATTCTGCTTTCCCTGTAGGTTTTGTCAGACCATGTCTTTTATAAAATATATTACAAAAACATTTGGGTGAACAGCTCCCTTGTCCTAGCTCCTAAAAAGCAGAACCCTCACCCCCTTTTTAAAATTGTGGTAAAATATACATAACATAAAATTCACCTTTTAAACTATTTTTTAAAATGTTTTATTGTGAATTATATAATAGTTTACATGGGAGAACATTAGCTTTACGTTCATCCTATCGTATATCATTTCATTGCCATAGTTACAATTCCCTCCATGCATCATCAACCAACCAAAGGGTGTACCCTGCAAGCCCCTCTCCCTCTCTGGTTCTAAAGTCCCCAGCCGCTCCATTGTCTGGGGACTTTAGACCCAGAAGTCTTCACGTCATTGTTTCTGCCTCCATCTCTGACATCACTGCTTCTCTGGGTAGGGTCCCACTCTCCGCTCTTCTCCCTTGATGGTCCCAGGGACCTCTGTTCCTAGGCTGCAAAGTCAATCACTCCCCTCCTTTTGCTACAAAATGTCTACCTTTACATTTCCAACCCTCACAATCAGTCCTGATAACAATTATTCACTATTGTATCACAAGAGACTTATCTGCATCGCCTTTCATCAGCCCCACCTAGACAGATTGGATACGACTCAGTGGAGATTATACCTTCATCCACGCCCTCTGGATCTAGGTTCCCTCTTGAAAGCTTGTAAGCCAGTCACTTCTTGCCTTTGTATCTCCCCTCCACCCCCATTTTGGGTAGCCAATGTCCAAGTTGCCCATCCCTGTCTACTCTGTGTATGGAGGGGGTGGGAGTGATCCTTGCTGTAAAGATTTTTTTCCCTCTTTTGAGCTACTACCTCCATAGGTGTAGGTCAAGTTCATCAAATTGTATCAGATTACTCTTTTTTTTCCTCTTCTTTCTTCTTCTAGTTGAGCTCTGCTCATCCAGTCATTGAAGCCAGGTCAAGTGGGTATTATCTCCAAGTGTGGGTGTTCTTGTGCATATGCCCTCTCTTCTTATCAGCTGGATTCTTCACTCTCCACTCTAGTCCTCTGTGGCTATGTCACTGACTCTGGGCCCAAGAGTCCCCAGATCTGCCACACTGCTGGCTGACCAGGTCCTTTTGAACTATTTTTTAAACTTTTAAACAAAAAATGTGCAATTCAGTGGAATTTATCACAATCACGATGTTGTACAACCTCAAGTTGCAGAACATTTTTGTTGCCCCAAAAGGAAACCCATGAAGCACTGTCTATTTTTCCATTATCCCTAGTTCCTGACAACCACTAGTCTGCTTTCTGTTCTGTTGCATTTGCTTATTCTGGTTATTTCATAGAAATGAAACCATGCAATATGTGGCTAGGAGTGGAATTGCTGGGTCACATGGTAGCTCTGATTGAGAAATTGCCAACTGATGTTCCATAGAGGTAGCACCACTATACATTCTCATCAGCACTGCACTTACTGTGTTGCTTTAAGGAGCCCTGGTGGGGCAGTGGTTAAGCACTCAGCTGCTAACCAAAAGGTTATCTGTTCGAACCCACCAGCTGCCCTGCAGGAGAAGATGTTGCAATCTGCTTACATGAAGATTGTTGTTGTTAATTGCTGTCAAGTGGGTTCTGACTCATAGCGACACTGTGCAGGATTTCTGAGGAGTAGCTGGTGGGTTTCAATGGCTGACCTTTCAGTTAGCAGTCTAGGGCTTAGCCTACAGCAGCACCCCATGACTCCTTGGAAACCCTATTCGGCAGGTCTACTCTGTCCCCTAGGGTGACTATGAATGAGTTGGAATCAACTCAACAACAATGAACAATGGATTTGTTTTTGGTCTTTTTTTTTTTTTTGTACCAGCCATGCAAAGGAGTTCCAGTTTCTTTCACATTCTTGCCGTGTGCTTTTCTGTTTGTCTATTACAGCATCCTAATAGGAATGAAAGGATCCCTGGTAGCATAGTGAGTTACATGTTGGGCTGCTAACTGCAAGTTGACAGTTCGAATCCACCAGCCTCTCCACTTGAGAAAGATGAGGCATTCTGCTCCTGTAAAGATTTATAGCCTTGGAAATCCTATACAAAGTCACTGTGAGTCAAAATGGACTTGATGGCACACAGCAGTGGGCGTGAAGTGGTTAGGGGTGATTTTTATAGTATTGATGTTGTATGTGTTATGACTCAAAACTTTTTATGAATGTTTTAAGACTGTCATAAACTACATGGAAAATAACCTCTACATGATTTCCAGTAAGAGAGAGACGTGAAGCTTTTTTTCTTTTTTCCCTGCACAGCCCCTGATGTGGTTAAGCATTGTGGCACTGTAACCTGCAGAGGGGACATTCAGTGACTAATTATAGGTAATGTCTGATGCTTCTAACCTTCTGTCTCTTCTTTTCTTTTGGTTTTAGGGGTTTCGTCTGGCTTTCCCAGAATGCTTTGACATTGTACTGGCTGAGAACTGAGCCACCTGCTTTTGTGGGACTTCCATACTCTTGGTTCCACTCTCTTCTGATGGCATTTTGATTGCATTGAGGCCAAGTGACAAGCTGCTTACAATGAGTGATGAGAAGAACCTTGGGGTGTCCCAAAAATTGGTCTCACCTTCAAGGAGCACAAGTAGCTGCTCCTCCAAGCAGGGAAGTCGACAGGTAAAGTTAAACTTATGTAGATTTTAAAATGCAAATTTAAATCACCAAGAATTTTGCAGATTAAAATGTGCACATATACTTGGGAAGGCCTGCTTCTCGGTTTAAAAGCATTTATTCTCAGTCATATCTCAAATTATATGACAAGTAAATTACAGATAATTTCAGTTATGTAGCTTGACTACCTACAAGGTAGGAAAGAATGCATTTATTTGGCTCTACAAACAACTACAGAGTTGTTTATGCAATCCTTGCAAACCCCTTTCACAGTGAAGCAATGTGAATGAAACTAATGACCATCCTCACAATGAACCAATGAGCAACGTTGTGATCAACAGAGAAAAGAGGATTTCAGTTTATTTGTATTCAGTTTGAAATGCAAGGATTTCCGTTTATTTGTATTCAGTTTGAAATGCAAGGTCGGTGGTTCAAACTCACCAGCCATTCCTCAGAAACCCTATACAGGGTCTCTATGAGTCAGAACCGACTTTACGGCACACAACAACAACTTCAACACCTATCAGAACAGCTCTCAAGAATCAAATGACATATTGCGTTGAGCAAATCTGCTGCAAAAGACCTTTTTAAAGTGTCAAGAGCAAAGATGCCACTTTGAGTATTAAGGTGCACCTAACCCAAGCCATGGTGTTTTCAGTTGCCTCGTGTGCATTCAAAAGCTGAAAATGAATAAGGAACACTGAAGAAAAATTGATGCCTTTGAATTATGGTACCTGTGAAGAATACCTAATACAACAGATTTCTAGAAGAATGAACATATCTATCGTGGGAGAATATGACCAGATTGCTCCTTAGAAGGAAGGATGATGGTGAGACTTTGTCTTATATACACTGGACATGCTATCAGGAGGGATCAGTCCTTGGAGAAGGACATCATGCTTGGTAAAGTAGAGGGTCAGCAAAAAGGATAAAGACCCCAAATGAGATGGATTGACACAGTGGCTGCAGCAGTGAGCTCAAGCACAACAATGATTGTGAGGATTTGGCATGACGACTAGACAGTGTTTCATTCTGTTGTACATGGGTCACTTTGAGTTGGAACTGACTCAACAGCATCTAACAACAATGTTTTCCTACGAGGACGTTGACGCAAACTGAGTTACTTGCCCAGGGGCACACAGCTAGTAAGTGGCAGAACAAGAAACCAAAGTTGATTCTGTTTGGCTCCGGAGCCACAGTTTCCTGCTAACCAAAACAGAAAAAGAAAAAATAACTTCTCTAGTAATTATAATATTCCCTTTCTTCTTCCTGCTCCTCATCAAACCTTTTATGACAGCTTCTAATCACAGATTGCCCTTTTAGTAACTTTGAGTTTCACTTGTTTCATTTTCCTAATAGACAAGAGAATCTAATCAATAGAGAAATGGCCAAAAGGAATTAAATAGGAAGAAGAAGAAGGAAATCAAAGGACTTCAATAATTAGTTCCTAAATAACTTAAGTTAATTGCATGTTGTTTCTTGGTTTTTCTTTTTAAGAAGTCTCTCTTGGCAGAATTAGCTGGTTGGAGATCAGTGGCAGTAAGTGCATGCTAATCATTATAATTCTTCCTCCTACATTTAGGTGGAAAGTGGCTGTCAAAAATCTGTGGGGTTACAACCTAAGTGGTTTCTGGGTCTTCTGGCATTGCCTTTCTCCCTTGTGAAACACTGGCCTAAGAATTCTTCCAGAATCCTTGATTCCGAGTTAGGAAGCAACGATCAAGCAAACTCCCACCTCAAAAGTGTCCACACATTTCTGACATATCATTAGAGGGCTTTCTGTTGGAATAGTGCATAGGACAGGGAGCCAGCAACCTCACAACACCACGTCAAGTCATTCAAATCTATGATTCTAGACAAATCAGATTTTGCCACAAGCCTGACATTTGAGGATCCCTTCAAGATCTCCCAGGATGCATTAAGAAGGAGAACTTTCCAGAATGACTGTCCTCACTTCCTTCTGGCACTTTTGAAATAAAAAGACTAAAATTAGCATCCATGTGCCATTACTCCCTGGGAGTTCTGTTTCCAAAAAAGTAGCAATATTCAGCCTCTTTGTCAGCTTTTCTGCATTGATTTTGATGTAGCTTCTTCACGGAGCGATTTCTTTCCATAAACTTGGCACCTAGGAGGAATTCTGGTTGGGATTAGAGCAGAATGTGTGGTCGTGTTATGTGTCCCCCCTTTCCCCCTCCTCCCCGCCATTTTTGCACTTAGTCACAACTAATGTTGTGTTTTCTGATAAAGGAGCGAAAAGGAGTAGCAAATGCTCATAACACAAGAGAAATTGGAGCAGCTCAGTCACATTTTCAGGTTAACTACAATAGAAGTTTTATTTGAAATTGATTAGTTTTCAGAGAATTTTTGTTTGTTTTGAGAAATGACTAGTTATATCATAAAAGGCAAGAGGAATGTACTTTATGCCTAAATTTTTTCCCTGACTTTGGATGGGTAGGCATTCAGCCACCTATTTATTCATCCTGGGTAGGGTTTCCAAGGAGCGGCTCGTGGGTTTGAACCACCGACCTTGCAGTTCAAACTGACTTCGTGGTCCAGTGCTTATCCTACAGCAATAGTCATGTTTTATATTTAGGATCTCCTGCTCCTGTAAAGATTTA